GGAAGGCTGAGGCACAAGAATCATTTGAACCTGGGAGCCAGAGGCTGCAGTGAGCTGAGACCGCACCACTGCACTCCAGCCTGGGTGACAGAGTGAGACTCTGTCTCAAAGAAAAAAAGAAGAACACTGAAAAAATTCACCTTGCACTCTGCTAACACTTGAGCTCGCTGCAGCCTCAACCTCCCTGGCTCAAGTGATCCTCTTGCCTTAGCCTCCTGTGTAGCTGGGACCACAGGCATGTACCACCACACTTGGCTAATTTTTGTTTCTTCCTTTTTTTTTCTTTTTTTTTTGTAAAGGAGAGGTTTTGCCATGTCGCCAAGGCTGGTCTTGAACTCCTGGGCTCAAGCAATTCAACCACCTCCACCTCCTAAAGTGCTAGGGTTACAGACAAGCGTGACCTGCAGCACCTGGCCATATTTGGTACTCTTTTTTGTTTTTTTCTTTTTTCAACTCATTGCTTGCTAACACATTTGGTATTCTTCAATCACCTTTGATTTTTGTCAGTTTCTTTCCAAAACTTATCAATGGATTCCATGCATACAGGATAGTCTTATCTTCTTGCCTGGAATATGTGGCCATTTCCTATTTGGCCTTAACAAACCTGACACCAGCTTGGTCTTTCAGGATGCTCCTTAATAATAGACTAACCTTCTTCCCATTCCCCACCATAGCTGCTCTTTCAGCGTCTTTGCCTTTGTTCCTGACGTTCCCTGTGTGTGGAATGCCTCCCCTATGTACATCCATATGGAATGCTGAATATGCCACCTTCCCCCACAAGGCTTTCTCTGATCCCTCTAGCAGAGCAAACTCTCTCTCTGGACTCCTGAAATACTTGTCATTTTCTCCTACCTTGAAAAAGTGTTACTTAGATTCACATGATCTCTCAACCTAAAATAAATGTCCTTTAAAAAAACAAGCTTCACCTTTGTTACATTTTACATACTCATGGCCCAGGGTCACACTCACAAGTGGTGCAAATACGCATAACGAAAGTAGAATGTGGTAACAGAAGACAGTGAAATTCAGTGCTGAGGGAGCCCACTGAAGGAAGAGTTTATTTCAGTTGCCTTCACATTTGAAGTAAGCCTTTAAGGATATTATAACTGTGTTCGGCAGAAATGATGGAAATCAGGAATCTAGGCCAAGGTAGCGACATGAATAAAGGTGGTGGGGGAAAAGCACAACAACTGAAGAGCAACTTGTATGGCTAAAATTTAGGTAGCGGGTTATTAGGGCTGAAAAGGTAACTATGGAGGGCTCTGAAGGAACTTCTATATGCATTTAGACTCAAGTTTGAGGCCATGAGAAGCTACTGAGGCTTTCGAGCTGGGAAATGACATAGTCAAATGTGTATTTTAGAAAAATTGCTCCATCAGCTGGGCATACAATGGAACTAGGAATGAGATCACTGCAATCTGCATGTGTGTGTCCCTCCAAAATGAATACGTTAGAACTTAAACCCCAAGGTGATGGTTATCAGGAGCCAGGGCTTTTGGGGAATGATTAAGTCATAAAGGCTCCATCCTGATGAGTGGGACTAACACCCCTATAAGAGAGGCATCGGAGAGCTGCTTGGCCTTTTCACCTCTTCACCCATGTGAGGACACAGCATTTATCCCCTTCTGCAGACACCCGTCTGCCTTCTGCGACATGCGGATGCTGCAGCAAGGTGCCATCTTGGAAGCAGAGACCAAGCCCTCACCAGACGCCAAATATGCCAGTGCCTTGATCTTAAACTTCCCAGCCTCCAGAACTGTGAGAAATAAATTTCTGTTGTTTATAAATTACCCAGTCTGTGGTACTTTGTTACAGCATCAGGAATGGACTAAGGCAAAGACTAATCAATAGAGACTTTTGCAATAGTTAAGACGACAGTAGCAGTATCTTGAACTACAGTGGTGGTAGTGAGAATGTAAAGAGGAAAGATGTAAAAGGGGATACAGTGGAAAGAGAACTTCAATAGGGCAATGGAGAGGAAGCAAGGGTTCTCAACCTGGAGTCTATGGAGAGAATTTAGGGGGTCCATGAACGTGGACAGAAAAATAGAACATCTTTATTTTCATTACCTACCTCTAAGTTAAATGCAGCATGCCTTCAATTACGAATACAGACAACACACTAACAGCACCAGGCTTCGGAGTCAGACTGGCAAAGGGATCCATAGCATAAGAAAGAATTTCTGTACTCTAAGGGCCTAAAAGTCTGGTAATGTGTTTACCAGACATAAAAACTACAATGAAATAGGAAAATTTTAAAACATTAAAATCAAAAACAAAACCTAACAACGTGTGGGGACTGAGGGAAGGAAGAGCAGTAAAAATGGAAAAAGTTCTCAGTTTGACTTTGGATGTGTTGTTTGAGGTGTCAGCTCACCCTTACTTCATAAGAGGACATCCAATTTCTTATGCCCAGTCGCCTTCAGCTGCAGGGAACCTGAATCATCTTTATATAGTAGGAATCTGCATTTCCCCTTCTGTTCCTCCTCCCATCTCTTGGCACTGAAGAGTCCAGGGGTGGTTGTTGGGCCCAGTGGCTCAGGCCTGCAATCCCAGCACTTAGGGAGACCACTGAGGTGGCTGGATCACTTGAGGTCAGGAGTTCGAGACCAGGCTGGCCAACAGGGCAAAACCCCATCTCTACTAAAAATACAGCAACAGCAACAAATTAACTGGGCTTGGTGGCAGGTGCCTGTAATCCCAGCTACTTGGGAGGCTGATGCAGGAGAATCACTTGAACCCAGGAGGTGGAGGCTGTAGTGAGACAAGGTTGTGCCATTGCATTCCAGCCTGGGAGATGGAGCTGGAAGACTAGAAGACTGTCTCAAAAAAAAAAAAGAGAGTCCAAGGGTGACCAACTGTCCTGTTTTGACTGGGACAGAAGTGTTTTCCAGGACACATTCAATGCTAAAACCAGGAAAATCCAAGACAAAGTATGATGAGCTCATCATCCTAAGAGCCCCTCAAATCTGGCACTGTATGCTAATAAGGCTATAATAATACTGTCTACATTACAAAACTATGCTATTTTAAGGTTTCTTTTAGATATGAGTTTGTCCATCTGTTCTTCCCATGAGATGGAAAATCCTGAAGGAAAATCTTCCTCTCATAAGGTCAGACTCAACAAATGCATTAGTAACTGCATATCATTATGTCAACAGTTCCACAATTTATGTAGTTCTGGCACATCCGCATATCATGCAATCCTCACAGGAACTCAGTGAGGTAGATTTGATTCTCTTCATATCACAGAAACCGAAGCTCTGGAAGATTTAGCACTTTACCTCGCCCAACAAACAAAGTGGCCGGCTCCTAGCACTGCAGCTGTCAAAGAACACTGAGACACTGTGTGCTCTACAGGGACAAGAGTGGCTCTCGCTAGAGGGAGATTATGCAATGCAGCAAGTTTCTTTCTATTGCCATGCCCATGAACTCAGTGCTCTGACATTATACTGATAAGCGACAATATGAAGTGTTAGTTTTAAGCACAAGGCACCCTAAGGTAAGGTGGTGACTGATCTAAGGGACAAGGCATAAAAGCCAATAAATAAATGTCCCAAACCAGTAAGATTAACCAAGAACAGCAATAATTTACAAATCAAAATGTATGGCAAATGGTACAAAAATATGCTGCCAGATGCAGCATCTAATCAGAAAATCTACACACGGTAATGAGTATGCCTATATTAGTCAATACAGAAATCAACATGCCCGTGTGTGCCTGCATTGATCAATCCAGGAATCTTGGCCAGGGATGGAATGGCGAAAGCCAGGATAGCTAAACCACAGTAGTGACAGTAATGTAATACTAATGTTCCATACACTGAAGGGGCCTGGCCCTGACAGGTTTATTGGCCCTGCAATTCACCAGCTACCTCGTCCCGTCACCATGGCAACACCCACACCCAGGCAGCTCCAGAATTCACCTTTGGATATCCACAATCCACCAAATTTGCACCTACGCAGTTCAAATAAACCAACAAAAGATCTCTCCACCCGCTAAACGGAGACAACCACGACCTTTATTTCTCCGATCTCCAACTCATCCAGGGAACAGGTCTTTAATTTTTCACCCACCTCCACTGAAGAGAGAGCGAGTCCTAAACAACGACCACTTTTGATACAGTAAAAGAGGACTTTTTTTTTCCCCTTTCCTCCCCCTCCCTCCGCTTTTTTTGCGGGGGTGGACATCAGAGACCGCTAAAAACCGGATGCACACACAAACACAACATTTGCCTTAAAAAGGCAAGTGAGTCAATATGATGAAAATAATTTTCACCCAACGTCTCGTGGCACGTCTGTCAGGCAAGCTGAGTTTTGCCCCTGCAGGCGACCGCCTCTGGAGCTGAGAAATAGTTTCCAGCGCAGCTGTTTGATTTACAGCTCTCAAAAACAAAAACGCATTCCGGGCCGGCGGGACCGCGCACAGCGTGAGCAAGTACATGACGTATTGGGTAGAGTTTTCCAGAACGGCTCTCCGGCTCAAGCAAGATGCCCAGGCAGCAAATCTCATTTCTGCTGGGAGAAATGGAATCAATTCGCACCCCGCTGCGCGAGCCCACAAAACGCAGACCAAGCGGTTTTATTAAAACGGTAGCTAAACCCCCTCCGCAGACCCTAAGCTCTGCCCCGAGCCCCGCGGCCTCACTTTCTACCCCCACCACATCCCTAGGACCTGGGAAACACGAAACGACCCGCCGCACAGGAAAAGGAAGCCCCAAACAAAACTGTCGCAGAGCCTTTTTCTACTGGCCAAAGAGCGCCGCGAAGACCCCTTGCGTCTGGGGCCGTCCGCGCTGCCACTAGTAAAGATGGCGGCCATAGGCGGAGCCGCTCCCTCCGAAGGCCGCGGGCTGCCCCGCCGGCCCCGATCATTCAAGCGGAGCCCTCCACGCCCGCCGTGGCTTGACGCATTGCAGGTGCAGCGCGGCCAATCAGGCGGCGCGGCTCCTTCCGGCCAACCACTGCAGGGTCGCGCCGGCCTATCAGAGCGTCCTCGTCAAACTGAACGAGGAAAGAAGCCTCAGCAGCGCCAACTAAGCAACCGGCTACAGAGCGCGTTTCGAGGCGTGTGTGACGACACTGCCGTGTGCTCCTCCGCTGGGAGATATAGTGCCCTCGCCCGTGCCGCGCCCCGCCCGCGGGCGCTCCAAAGGGTTGGGCGTTGCGCTTGCTCTTTTTCTCCGCTTGACGGGCAGTGGTTCCCCCGAGACAGAAACTTGATTGAAAAATAATACCAAATTCCCGTGCTGCGGCCCGTGGCCGTCCACGAGGCGACCTGAACTAGCCTCGCCTGCCCCCCTTGTTCTTTGCTGTTCGTCCTGCGGGTTTTGTGAAAACAGTTGGCGCGGCAGAAACGAGATCAATGCCCCTGAGCTCGAAACCCGCACTCGAACTGCCACCGAACCGACCCTTCCTGTTTGGGAGCGCAGGGCCCGACCACCCGAGAAACACCCTCGTGGGCACTTTGTTTCTAGAAGGGCCGGTTTCCATTTCCTTCCTGCGGTTTCCTTGTCTCCTGCGGCGGGAGGGGCCCGCTGGGCTCTGGTTTTCAGCTGCGTCCGAGCTGCAGGGGCTGCGGAGTAAACGCGGCCAAGAGCCCGCCTGAGAGCGCGCGGCGCCCGGGATCCGCGTAGATGAACTTGGCAGAGGCCCGAGAGCCGCTGCTTGGCCCTCGCTGGCCGGGTAGACCGAGAGGAAGCTCCTGGCCTCCTCCTCCCACTTGAAAAGCCCCTTCTTGCTTCTGTGGGGAAGGCCCTGCCAGGGAGAGGCTAAGGTCCGGGGAGGTAACCTCTCCCATGGGCCACATCTGCTGCCATGGTCTGTGTCGTGCCAGAAGGTACCTCTCAGCCCAGAGTGCAGTGAAAAATCTGACACCCAAGAAGTCGATTGACACGCCTAACGTCGCCTAGCAATTTAGCAGCACAGCACAGAATAGCATCTACCCAGGCTGGTGGTTGGCAAGCCTGTGTTTCTCTACCACAATAACACCGCATCTTCTAGAGCCGAAGCTCTCGTTATAAGATGGCTCAAACATTTGGGGGAACTGGAAGGCAGATCTGGGAACGAACGGAATCGTTTTCTCCGAGCAGAATTTTCCATCAGTGACCTACAGAAAAAGTAAAGAAACATGACTTGGTTATTGCCACTGCTCCAAGAAAAGCTAGCTAAGAAAACTAAACCCTGTGGATTTCCTAAAACTGCCATTTTGTGTAACCTCCGAACGTCTATCTGTGACTTTTGCACAAGGTGGCTTGGATGTCTGATTTTTGTGATTGAGCTGTATTCACATTCTGTTTCTAAGATTGTGTTACTAATGGTTTTTCCTGAGGCTTTACAACCAGTAGTGGTGTGTGCGCTGTACTCGAGTGAAGGTTCTTTGATCTAAGGCTATACTTGTCAGTTGCTGTTTATTGCTTCTTAAACTTTTACTCAAAGTCTTCTTCAGAAAGGAGAAAAGCTGTGGTTTTCTTTCTGTAGGCGGTTAGTAGTCATCCCCAAAGATGTTTGCCAAGTGAGCAAATATCTTGGAACTTCCAAATGAGCATTTCACTGTAAAAATACCTGCACCAAAAACAATACGTCATGTTTCTTTTGCAATTTATATGGTATAGGAAATATGTACTGTGACTTCTTTTGTAGCAAGCCAGATCCTGATGTTAAAAAAAAAAAGAGATCTGACTGTGCCAATAACAAATTGAGAACTCCTGGGTAAGTCCCTTTCTCGTGTTCTTGGGACCTCAGTTTTCTAGTATGTTGAATTTGAGGACTGCATTAGAGAATTTCCAGATTCCCTTCCAGCTCTAGTATTTGATTCTACTGTGGAGAAATTGGACCATAACGTCATTATGTCATTATACTTAGGCTTATCTGTTTCTTTGTATAATGCTTTACATTGTACAAGTTGCTTATGTGTTTATTTTTATATTCAGTCTTCCCAATATTTCCAACACTTCCAGAGGAAAGGTCTCAGTTTTACAAGGAAGTAAGGCTTACCAGGAAGCCTGAACCATATTTATCTAAATGTGAATTGGTGTGCCACAAAATATTTCTTAGGGCTTATTACTTAAATCCTAGTACATGTAAAACTGTTGCTTTGTAGTGGTCAGCAAATGAGCTCACTGAATTGTGAACTCCTTAAGGACAAGGCCTATTCAATTCATCATTATATATTGTCTGTGCCTAGTGAATTTACTTTACATTTAAAGGTTTACTGAAGGAATGAATGAACAATGATTAGGACAATGGTAGAAGAATCTGGATTTGAAAGGGTCTTTGAGTTCCAAGAAAATCAATGAAAGGCTGGATGCAGTGGCTTACACCAGTAATCCCAGTTTTTTGGAAGGCTGAGGTGGGCAAATCACTTGAGCCCAGGAGTTTGAGACCAGCCCAGGCAACATAGGGAGACCCTGTCTCTACAAAAAATAACGAAAATTAGCTGGGTGTGGTGATGCGTGCGCACCTGTGGTTCCAGCTAATTGGGAGCCTAAGGTGGGAGCATCACCTAAGCCCAGGAGTTTGAGGCTGCAGTGAGTTATGATCAGGCTACTGCACTGCAGCCCGGGTGACAGAGTGAGACCCTGTGTCAAAAAAAAAAAAAAAAAGATCAACCAATATTTATGGAGTGTCTACAGTGTAGAAGGTTCAGTTTCTTTTTTCAACACAATTTTTTTTCCTTTCATTGAGTTGTCTCCATTTTTTATTTTTAAATTAAGGAAATATCATTATGGAACATAATGATCTTAAATATCATGGCTTATCTCCAAGCTTTCCTTTGTATGTATTCTATTACATTCTCCCTTCTAAATACAAAGATTTAGAAGAAAATGATTTTTTAAAAACCTATCTGACTCACTCAAACAAAATTGCTCACTTTCCTGGTCTCTTGTTGCTTTTCTGGTCTTTGTAAAGAGATGATGTCTTCTACCTGGCCTTGGATTTTTTCTTTTTTCTCTTTCCTTTTTTTTTTTTTTTTTTTTTTTTTGGTGAGGGGGAGCAATTTTGGGGAATAAATGTCATGATCAGTCAATTTGAGTAGGCATGGTCTAGTCTGTTCTAAGTATTTTATATGAGTATCATTTGACAAAGTCAGAATTCTATAATGATTTTTAACCTTTTTTTTTTTTTTTTTTTTTTTTTTTTTTTGAGACAGTCTCATTCTGTCACCCAGGCTGGAGTGCAGTGGTATGATCTTGGCTCACTGCAATCTCCTCCTCCTGGGTGCAAGTCATTCTTGTGCCTCAACCTCCAGAGTAGCTAGGACCACAGGCATCTACCACCACACCTGGCTAATTTTTGTATTTTTTGTAGAGATAGGGTTGGTCAGGCTGGTCTCGAACTCCTGGCCTCAAGCAATCCACCTGCCTTGGCCTCCCAAAGTGCTGTGATTATAGGCATGAGCTGCCACACCAGGCCAATTTTTAGCATTTCTAAAAAGATGTAACTCTTGAGATAAGTCCACTGTGACCTCAGATGTATATACATCCACATCTCTAAGAGTCTCTTGGTTACTAGGGAATTCCACATAAATTCCTCACAAAATTCACAAGCAAGAATATTTAGAATCATGAAATTCTAAATCTGGGAGAACCAGAGAAAGTCCATCTGGTCTAACTTTTACATTTTACAGATAAGAAAACTAAGTCCCAAGAAGTGACTAGTTAGGGAGAGGGTAGGCTTTTAGACTGTTCTTTCCTTTGACCTTTGAAAACATTTTAATCAAAGGACAATCATAATAAGGGGAGTAGAGGAATGTTATCATTCACAGGGCCTCTTAGAGACTGTGGAAAATCTTGAGGAGACTGCTTTGGACTTTGTTATCCATTTAGGGATTGGCTATTCTGAATTGTTCTCTGTGCAAAGCCTTATCTATTACCGCTTGCCTTCAATCTTTGACCTTCATTTAAATTGCTGACACTTTTTCCTTGTGAAACTTTATCATAATTTCTTCTGTCTTCTTTAGGCTAATAGCATTTCCCTTTCTTATTCCCAGAAGAGCTCAGAGAAGCTTATTTTTTGAGATGAGTGATACATAAAAAGAAATGTGGCTACACAATTCTAATTATTTCATAAAGTTCTGAAGTATTTTTAGGGTGTTGCAAAGTGCTAATAAAAATAATCATGTTTCGTGGACATACAGAGTGGAGTAATAGACATTGGAGACTCCAAAAAGTAGGAGAGAAGTGAGGGATGAGAAATTACCTATTGGGTACAATGTACACTGTGCAGGTGACAGTCACACTTAAAGCCCAGACTCTACCACCATGCAATAGATCCATGTAACAAAAATTCACTTGTACCCTTTAAATCTATTTAAAAAATCAATCATTTCTAGCCCTAGTTTGCTAAGGGTTTTAAATTTTTTTAATGTAAAACATTTGTAATAAACTCTTTGTTCTGCATAGCAGAAAAATAATGTTTATATCTTTATTTCTCATTATGTGACTTTTAGGCTGGTTTCTAAAATTTTGATTTAAGTGGTTAAAACAGTATGATTAGACTTGTTTAGAGCATAGTGCTCTTTCACAGAAAGAAAAGCTTGTTCCATGTCTTCTTCAGCAGCATCCTAACCCTCTAACCTAGCTGGCTGCCTAGCAAATATTCATAGGCAAAACAAGTTTCGAAAGTCAGAATGGCTCGGTGGGAGCCTATGCTATCAACATATCAAACAGTTTGAAATGTGTGCTTAAACCACAAAGTATTCCCTAATGCAAAGGTTCCCACAGGTCTCAACTGAATCTGTATAAAAAATTAAAAAATAAGGGCCAGGCGCGGTGGCTCAAGCCTGTAATCCCAGCACTTTGGGAGGCCGAGGCGGGTGGATCATGAGGTCAAGAGATTGAGCCATCCTGGTCAACATGGTGAAACCCCGTCTCTACTAAATATACAAAAAATTAGCTGGGCATGGTGGCGCGTGCCTGTAATCCCAGCTACTCAGGAGGCTGAGGCAGGAGAATTGCCTGAACCCAGGAGGTGGAGGTTGCGGTGAGCCAAGATCGCGCCATTGCAGTCCAGCCTGGGTATCAAGAGCGAAACTCCGTCTCAAAAAAAAAAAAAAAATTAAAAAATAAAAATAAAGTTCCTACAGGTACAAAGCACAGAATAGCTTTTCTCAGTTTTCTCCCCTTCTTTAGGATTTGAAAATCAGAAATGCCTCTAGTAGAATCTCCGTCAGTAGACCATCTAAAAAATGGCTCATATGTTTCGCAGCTATTCAGTTTTAAGGTCATTTCCTAAGTTTCAAACTTTGTGAGAAACAGGTGCAACTGTGAACCTTCGTGTGGCAGGGAAGAGCTAGAGCAGTGAAACATGAAACTATAAATCAGTTCTGTGGGTCACAAATCTCTTGGGCTGTCTGGGAAGACAGTGATGACTCAGCGGCATTCCATAGGACTGGTGGAGGGTGAGGTGGCTGAGGGCTCAGTGCCCTGGGCACCAACCTGTTGGGAGTGCCGCCGAATGATGGGTGACTGAGTTGGATTTTCCCACTGCTGAACCCTTCCACAGACCAACTCAGACCTCCTCATCTGGGTTCTAAATAAATTTCTGACCCAGCCCTTGCCATTTAGCACACTGACATTTTAAATATTATAAGCAACCACATTGTATATTTCCCTAGGGTTTGTTTATTACACTAATGTTACAGATGAGATACCTGAGTCTATGTGGCTAAGCGGCCAGCGAAGCAGCCATTTAACCTAGCAAATGAGGTGCAGTAATATTGTCCTCTTCTTCGGAAAAAGCTATTTGCTTTGTGTAAACAACAAAACCTTGAGTAACCTTTCCTTGAAATAAGACAAAATTTCTGTCTAACCTTTTGGTTTATGAGAATGAGAAGGAAAAACACACTGGTATTCAGTTGTACAACTTGAAAACACTTCTGAAGATACGTCTTTTCAGTGGTCAAATCATTCAATTATCCTGTTGTGGTGCCTGGAGTTGGTTTATTAGCCAATGACTCAGAACCTCTAGTTAGAATGAATACAACTCAGTAAGCATCTTCACTAGATTTAGATGGAGGTGGTTTTTCTGTTCAAAGACAACTTCCCTTTGACCATATTTTCTCCATTATAAGAAGCAAAGGATGGATCCAGTTATGTGAAAGCATGAAGAAAATTGTCAAAGGATGGGTCAGCCAGAGTATATGCTTACTTGTGACTGTAAAAGGATACAGGTTGGAATCAAAGCAGGGATAGTTCAGGATGTTCCTGAGGAGGTGTGACCTGCCACCAAATCAAG